AATAAACATGCCAAACTATTCCAAATGGCTTTTAACTTTTGTGGCTTAGCAAATTTATAATGCAGAGATCGTAAATTATAACATATATAAATGCTATTATCTAAGTTTTTCTTTTGATAATTTGTTTTATATTATTTCCATAATTTCAAGATAATATAAAGTATTTGTCGCAGATTTATTATGTTTAATTTTTTACTATATTTTTATATTTATCTTTATTTTGCGTATAATAAAAAATGATAAACTACAAATTCTATTTTTATTACAAATATATACGTAATTTTTTATTAATACAACTAAAGCATAAACAAATTGAAAGTCAAAGAACTATAATTACACAATGGTACAAAATACCATACATAAGAAAATGTATATGTAAATGTTTGTTCCAATTTTTATTTATACTACTCTTAATTGATACAAGGAAAATTTAATTTTATATGAATATAAAGACAGATTTTTCATTATTTGCGATAGAATTTGCAAAACAAAGAAAGAATATCACAAATTTTGCCACGCCTTGTATTTATCCCATAAATATTTTTCGAGAAAGATGTTAATAACTGTACAAATAATGTATCTTGTTCAAGTTCTCACAACATAAATAAATAAAATATTAAATGATATATAAAAATAAAACTAACAGGTTGTACAAGCGATAAAAGAGATTTATTAAATATTAGACAATTATTTGTTTTTCAAGTTCAAGCTCATATTTTGTTTTATTTTTAACATTAGCAGTTAGATATAAAATCTTAGTAAATGAATGTGCATCTTTGCATGCACGATACAATACAATACAATACTTATATAATAAATGTTAAATCTTCATTATATAAATAAATCATAGCAAGATGTTAAAAACTATAATTCATCTCTAAAGTTTGAATTGATAAAGTGACATTTACAAGAATGACTAGGTTGTGGTACTTCTTCCATATTATTCAGTACTTCAACTTCACTCTTTAAGCGTTTACTCCATTCCTGAAATATAAAAATTGTATTATTTGACAAGATATATACACACACACACACACACATACACACGTGTGTGTATGTGTGTGTATATGTATAGTCAAGAAAAATATATAAAATAGAATTTTTTTTTCCATACATGAAATAAAACTGTATAATAACATAATATATCACGTGGTAATAAATTATCCCTGGTAAATTGTCTGGCAGATCTAACAATTTTCAAACCATCCTCGTCATGCTCCTTTGCCCACATAATTTTCTCGACTAAATCCGATAGATCACTTTTTTATAGATACATAATGTAACCCAGGTATAAGATCTTTATAAAAAAAATTCATAATACTTGGATTCTTGTTTAAATACCAAAGAATCGCCAGCAAGCAAATATGGAAATCGATATGCTGCTACTGTGCCATCAATGTTTAATTGATATTTGTACTATGAAAAAAAAAAGAATATAAACTGCCATATAAATATTTGAAATTTTGTTTTTTAGCGATATAAATAAATTATATGTAAAATTACATATCTGCACTTTTTAAAACTTGTACGTATACAATTTCAAAATTATTATATGTAAAAAATATAATAAATTTAATATTAAAAAGAAAACTTAATAATATTGCAGAAAATAAAACAAGTTTTATAAGCATTTTGTACTTATATTAAATGATAAGATTAAAATAATATATAGTTATTCTTAAAAATATAACTTTAAAAATGTTTGTTAAACTTTATTTATATTTACCTTAAAAAAATTAAAAAATGATACATGTTTTTGTGCAGGCCCATACTTATCTATTTCATCCCTAAAGAAGAAGAAATTAGTAATGGAAACATTGAAAAATTCTGGATGCTTTCTTGAAATATCTATTAAATTGAGGCGTTCCCTTCTGGAATCACGTCCACGCCAAAATAATTGCTCAATCTTGTCTTCCCATGGTAGTCCATTACCTTGTACGGAGAGTGTATCTAACATTACCCTATTTTCCAGGCATATTATATTGCAAATAAAACGGTAGCTTAGATTATAGGTATTATCAAACTATGTTATACCTTCCCATCGCTTCTAGAGATGATTCTGTGATGTCATATGTAGGCATAACAATATCTCTCGTACTTTCAGATCCACACCATGAAAAAATGGGATAAAGTGGATCTGTATCAAGAACAAGTGGCCAATCACCTAAATTCACAAAAAATTCAACATCTGGCAGTGTCACTTTGCGTGTAAGTGAGAGCAATATAGCATCCATAAATATTTTGAAACCAACATATTGTCCGTAACATTGCCTATAAATCTTAATATATTTAAATCAATATTTATATAAACGAGTGTGAATTATAAATTGATAATATGATACTTACTCTATTAGATTTCAATGCATAATGACAAATACTAACGCTGGTGGGTCGATCATATTTTTCAATGATATCTTTACGTATTTTATTAAAGTCAATATTTGAGAATGGAGAAAGATCACGATGTATCTGAGTATAATTTTGTTGGCACTGATAATGCTCTAACCAATTAATGATTGATGGGTTCGGACAGTAACATTCTTCCTCGTAAACAGGACCTACAAATATAACTTTTGTTAGATTTTAAGGTTTTTTGTAAGAAAAGCAGATACACATACCTTTGATCTCTGAATGAGGCATTAATAGATCTTTTCCCTTAATCTTAACTTTAATCTTAACATTGAAACACGTATTAAAAACTTTATAGCGCATAATAAAACTTCCATCTTTACAGTCAAAAATTTGAGTCCACACACGACACGGTACATCATTAAAAGATTGTCCATATATTTGTCCAGTGATTATATTTTCACCAGGAGATTCCGTTAAACTAAAATATATACATAACATTATGTAATATTACAGATCATTATTAGATCAGATAACTTATAGAAATATCAATTATAGGTATATTTAGAATCTATCTTTAAAAATACAACTTTTTATCTTTAAAATTATTACACAATTATAAATCAAAATATTGTATAAAAATGGTTCAGCTTTATTATTGGATATTTCTGTTATTATGAATACAATTTAAACCATTCTTTTTATAAATCTTTAATATCTTTATATATTTGCTTTATCAATTTACATGTAATTATTATACTAACTTTCTTCCATGCAAATCCACAAGTTGCAAAAAGAAATATCTCGCACGCATAGTAACCTGTGCTGGTTTCAATCCTGGACCCCAGACAATAGTTTTCAATGGATCTATGTCAACATTTGTCGCTCCTGCGCAAATAAGCAACACTAAAAATGTTGCCAAACGCATACTTGTTGCAAATATTTACAAGACAAACAATATGCAGTTGTTCTTTGTTGGCACAATAGTTCTAAAAAAAATGTCTAATTTCTTAGTCATCGTAAAAGGTTATGATACATACATCTTTTTATTATTAACATTTTAATTACTTACCTGTATAAAAATAAAAGAATCATGTAATAGTTTATTATCTAATTTGTTTATTTCTTTCAAGCTTGTATTCATTTACAACCTTATTGTAAATACAGAAATTTGTAAAGCCGGTTGTCTGATTTGACAGTTGAAATCTTTTTTATTATTCACTGCACTCTGCAATATGTATGATATGTGTGTGGTGTGTGTGTGTGTGTATGTGTGTGTGTGTGTACATAGTATATATGTACATATGAATAAGATTCATTTGCCTGTTTCCTTCTTCTACAAAGCCTCTTTGAATAAATGTATCTTCATGTGCTCTCGAAGATAATAAATGAAAATAAATGAAAAATAGTATAATTATAATGTATCTAAATAAACGTATCATAAAATTACATCTTATAAGTATTTATATTTATACCAATTTATACTACATATGATTTCAAAAATATAACGAAATAAGATACTGCACATGGCAATTTTTAAGAATAGATTAGCAGGAAAAACAGAGACTAACAAAGAGTAATATATCTTTAATATATAAATTTAATAACGTTTTTATATATCTCATGTATATATCATCGTATATATACTATTATTATATTATTATTATATATATACTATTTATGGCTATATAATTTACATGAATTTTTATTAATGAATCCTATAACTTTTTGTGTATACTTTTATACATAAATAAATATAATTCTGTATTTCTATATGTAAATCGTAAAATCAACAGTGTATACATAATTACATCAAATATTAGAAGATTTAAGTAAATAAATATGTAGTATAACGCTCTTTCTTTCGATTTTCTTATATTTTGTAAATTTGTGTATTTTCATGCGTAGAACTTAAGAGTGACGATTTTGCTTTTTAGAATATATTCTAAAAAGCAAAATCGTCACTCTTAAGTCATTTATTTTTTTTTTTAATTTCAAAGTTTTTTCAAAGTTTTGATATTTGAACTTCAATCCACATAAACAAAAATAAAAGAAGTATTATATAATTTAAATCACAAACTATTTTCAGCTATAATTTATATAAGAAACTAATTGTCTTTTTAATAAATTAAGGTAGAGAACATAATAAAGTAAATATGCAACCATAAATTATCGAATAATAATTTTCTTACAAAAAATGTTGAAAGTAAAAAAATGGGATTTGAATTTTTTTTCTAGAATATTTTATATCTGAAAGTATACAAATTTATAAAATTATAAAATTATAAAATTATAGGAAAATCGGAGGAGAGAGCATTAGACTGCATTATTGCATATTTATCGAAATTTACATAAATATATATTACATCTTTCGCTTGCGTATTAGAAAAATACGCTTAATATAAAAGAATGGCGATGATACTACATAGAGAAACCGTTTGCATTCCATATTTTTGTTTCGTAAAAATTCTTCCACTCTCAAGGCTTCCAGCCGAGGAAACTGTCCTGTATAACTATCTGCTTGAATATGCTGTTCGTCATGGATTGTACAGGTTTTCGATTTCGTTGAGCTTCCATAATATAAGAGACTTTTCCTCGGGCCTCCGCTCGTGATATATCACCTCTTAAACCGAGCAGTCTGATCAAATGATCTTCGGTCATGTCAGGATATTTCTCGACTAACGAGTGCAAATCGAGGGAGAGAATCTCTGCGTCCTCACACCTCAGCACCTCGGCAAGGCGTTTTATTATTTCGAATGGCGAATTGAAGTTTCCGATTTTTGGTGCGATCCTATCGAAGAAATTCTTCAATTTATCCGCCTCCGTCATTATCTTAGATGTGCATGTCAGGCATTCATCATAAGTCTTTAGCGATATTTTCCTTTGCAGCATCGCAGATATGTAACGCTTCGCGATAAGATTCTGTGCTTCAGTGATAACATACTCGAAATTCTTAGGACTCAAGTGATTATAATCTTGAAAATAATCTTCCAAGGTAACGCAGATAGTTTCCACTGGGATAGGCGATGACAACCATTTGGGGGTGATCAAATCCTGGAAATGCAGTTCCAAATCTAAGAAAGATTCCTGTAGCAAAATAGCCGCGGCCTCGTTCCTCAAATGCTGATAGTGTGCCAAGAGACTCTCAAATTTCACAGTGGCGTCCCCGGTAGTATTGGGCATCCAGTATAATTGCTTCATCTGTTGTGCTAATTCGGTAAACTGTACACAATTATTGACTATCGTAATCATATGATGAGTGAAGTAAGGTACCTGGCTTCGGTCCTCGAAATGTTTCGTTTTAAATTCTAATATCGCCTGTCTGTACATAGATCCATATTTAATTACCTGCTCAATACATAAAATTAAGGCTTGCGCCGTTAAATCAGAGCTAATGGTTTTCGCAACTTGGAGATTTTGATCGATCATCTGGAATATGATAACCGGCGCCGCAGTGTGATAATATAGCTCCTGAGTGCTACTTTCAGGCAAGATGCCGCTCCTCCAATCGAGTTTCTCTGTTTCCAGCGTTTTTCTCATCCAATCCTCATAATTTTGACACATATTCCGCAAATATTTTTCTTGGAGATCGTTTATCATTTCGGGACTAAGAAGCGGACCGATATCAGACGTGTCAATATTCAATTCGGGGTGCTGCATCAGCTCTGGTCCTGTATAAGTATTCATAATCCATGCCAACAAAGAAACATATTCGTTTCCTTCTAGCCCACCAGCAATTATATCCTTCAAGTGTTGAGATAGACTTGTATGATACATTTTGACAAAAGTTCTTACTATGTCATACCAAGGTGGAAAGCATGGTCTGCACAGAGTCTTTACTACTCTCAAATCTTCAAGAATCAAAAGTCTTGTGAGTTCTAGATATCTCACCAACCACATTTTGTTATCTGCTCTCTCTTCTACCTGAGTCCCTTCGATTCTGTTGGCAACTGACTTTTCCAGTACCTTCATCGCCATTTCCTTCCACTTTTTAGGTCTACCTGGTGCCATAAATCCACTTTGCTTGTGTCTTTGAATGGCGAATTGATCTGCTTTTTCTTCTCTCTCTATAATTCTCAAAGGCGTTACTATAACGGTAGGTTCCTTCCTAACTGTATTTAAAGTTCGACTCAGCACCAGCCTGATCTGCTTTTCCATGAGCTGCGAGAGCATCTCAACATCTTCGAAGTAAGCCTTCAGCATAACCGTGTCTGCCGGTGATTGATTTGGCAGTTTATGAAGTTCATACAGCAATTCATCTCTGGAGGTTTCAAGATCCATCAGACTCTGATGCGCATGTAGCAGTTTACCTTCGTTTATCCACTGTTTCGTCTTCTCGACACTCTCAGGAACAGTGAATATGTGTTTCAGGTTTTCCTTCGCGATAACATATTGGGAATGACGCATATTCTCCTCCTGCACCGCCTGTAATCTAGAACTGAGCTTTAGAACCGAGCTAAACAGCTGGTCAATATGATCCAGGTCGTCCTTGATAGTGGCAATACTTTCCAAAGAACTTTGCAGCTGCTCGAAGCCTACCCTGACTCCATCCAGTTGGCTCTGCATCGCGGTTTTCAACATAGTTTCGACGGACGCCTTCTTCCTGCCGATCCTACGTTTGTACATGTCAATCTTTTCCAGTTGGCCTGGCCGTTGCAGGAGGTTCGCGACATACTTCGTACCTCTAGCGACCGCCTCCTCCTCCAACTTTTGCAGATCCTCCGTGTTCGTCGTCATTTTCGACGGTTATGCACTAGACCGGCAGGTTGTCAAAATTTTGATTCCAGAAAATCCGGATGTCTGCTATGATAACATAATGACAACAATCATATGGAGGAATCGCTGGTTTGGGGATATTTCACGGAGATCTTCCCCCGAAATGAGACAAGGCAGTCCACATGTAAAAGCGAGCTTACCAATTGGCTTCATGACGCATCGCGAAGACACAGAATTCGTTTTTCGATTGGTGTTTAACATTTCCAAACCTCACTCTTTTGCTCCATAAGGTTTCCGAAATTGATTCAGATTAAGTAAGGTTATAAGAGAATTTGTTCGATGTAAATATGATAAAGATATAATATTATCATAAACAGATTGAAATATTTTATCAAGAGTTGTAAATGCAAAATCTTTTTCAGATGACACATTTATCACAATTGATCTCTCTTGGATTACGAAACGCTCATCCATTTCTTTTGGCATCATGTGGTCTTGATAACATAGGTTTGTATATTCGATATGTTTTATTTTATTAACAATGGCATAATTGGATGTACCCATAAATAAATTTTTCAAAAGTAAATTTTGTAATGTTTGTTAAAAAGTTGTCAACAGAATGTGAGCAGAAATTTAAAAGAATTTAATGGAACATGACAGATTAAAATATCATAGAAATTAAACAGAATCTCATTTCATAATCATGTAAATAATATATATTCTACTTAAAGTTATAAAATTATTCACTTTATTTCTTCTGATAATTTATTATCGAATACATAATTAATTCGTAAGTAATTCTACTCGATAAAATGACACAGCGTTGATATATTGCTCATTTTACTTATTACTATTTTAATTATCTGTAATTAAATTAATGAGTGTTTTTCTTATTTAGCAAAAGTATGTGTCAGATATGCCTCAAAAAAAAAGTAGTACAAGTACCAGTAACAGGAGTGGCCATGCTAGACCAAAACATAGAGGATGGAAAGTACAAGATGGAACTAATGTACAAGCAGGTACGATATTAGTATTGCAACGAACAACTAGATTTCATCCAGGTCTTAATGTAAGTATATAGTTATATCTTTTTTTTATTTCAAATACTGTTTACTTCATATATTATTTATTTCCGATTACATAGGTTGGTTTTGGACGAAATGGAACCTTATTTGCCATGGAAGCAGGCAAAGTAATAGTAACTTGTGAACAAATTGATCCCAACTGGGAACATCCTTGGATCAAACGAAATTATAGTGGCCGTGAAGGTCGAGTTATATACAAAAAACATTTTAATGTTATTCCTATTTCTCAGCATAATCGATTCAAAGTAATAGAAAGAATATAAATATATATTATATAGAACAAATATGTAAGATTCTTTAATTGTCTCAATATGTTAATTAAATATATCTTCATATACATGCATATATATATATGTATATGTGTGCTTGCGTCCGTGCATGTATATGCTGTGCGTATGTGTGTGTGTGTGTGTGTGTGTATGCACACACACACACATGCGCGCGCGCGCACACATACACTGCATAAAATCAATTAGTTTAATCTTTATTAACAACTCTTAATAAAAGATTCCAAATTGAAATATAATTAATTTTGCAATCTGCAACATAAACTATTACTAGATACATATTAAATATGAAGATGTTTATAAAAAATAAAAATGTCTAGAAAGAAAGAGGATCATAACATACTTTTTATATATAGAACAGTTCCTTATTACGTCAGCTATTTTTTGATGCATTCCAATCTGCCCATTGAAAAGACTGATATTTTACTGTATCATCTTCCTCGTGATATGTAGCAAATACCAGCGTCTTTCGAACATGACAACTTAATCTGCACTTAGCTACAATGTCTAAAATAGGTATTTCTTCATCTCTGCATACACATTGTATCATAAATTGCGAATGAAACATCATTGGATCACCTATAAATAAAAAAATTTTACAAATTTGTGACTTATATGGTTATAATTTGCAACCAGAATTGTAGTGATACAAAGAGAGATAGGTCATACCTGGATATACCACAAAATCAGTGCCATAATTTTCTCCACTTGTGATATAATATTGTCTCTCCCAAAGATCCTTGAACACTTTGTATTTCAATCGTTGTTCGGGAGTAAGTGGATATTTCCATTCCACTGATTTTATGTTATCTTTGTTGGACCAGGGATATGCTAATATACAAACAAATTATCAGATTATATTATATGTTTATCATCTTTGATCTTACCTGTATGTACTTGAATAAGCATGTCATTTCTAGTCAATTCAGGTACTTTAGCTAATTCTTCTTCAAGCAATTTTTCAGTATTGATTTCTATATTATCTAAGGCTTCCTGTATGTTTTTATCTAATGGTTTCTTCATTTTCTTTTTACATGTGGGTAAGCCTAATATTTTACGTTTCTTTCCTTCAACAATCTTATCCATTATGGAAATAATCTAAGGAAAAATTTATTCGTTTTATCATAAAATTTTAAAATATCTCCTAACATAGATATATAAACAAATAATTACTTGTTTCTTTCTGTTATCTTTGAAGGAATCTGCTTGCTCCTGAAATAATTTCTCTCTGTACTCCTGAAATCTTTGACGTAGTGATTCATCTGGTGAAATATTCAGAGCTGTACATTCTACAAGGCAAGCGATTTTCTTTTCAAGCAATAGAGTGACTTCCTCTGGCAGCAAAAGCAATGGGAGACCTCGTATGCCTCGTCCAATTGACTTTGACATCGAACCTATTAATTCACCAATTATTCGATGATCTTGTCGAAGTTTCAGCCAGTCTATATGAAACATCAAATTATTACATAATAACATAAATTGTTGTAAACACACAGATATATTTGATAATATATTGTTTACCATCAGCATTCCATATAAAAACTTTATTCGAATATGAAAAAATAAGATAAATAATATCTGTATCCATTTCTTCGTTTCACAATTAATATCCACAATTGATATCCCTAACAAAAAACGTGCTATTTTATTATCATTATTTACAATTTTTTTTTAAAACAAAACAAATTTTTTTTTCCTCAATTGTGCACTTTTTCAAACAGTTTATTTATTGAATTTTTCGGATATCTTCGAAGGATATAGTGTCATAATTTGTTTAACTTTAAGATTTATTTCTCTTTTTTTCATTAATTCTTATTCTTATTCTCTCTTAGGGCCGGTCTCATCAACCCTAGTTAAGTTAAACAGCGGGTTAAATTTGAGAACTGCCAACTGCAAAAATAAAAACTTCGTCATTTCTAACCTAATTTCTTGTTGTAAACATTTGTATTTCAAAGTATATATTTATATAATACTTACTTTATTACTTTAATCCACACTCTATATTCTTTCTCTTTGTCATGAATAGATTACGATTACCAAGATCGATTTTGGATTTTCTGCTATTGGCAATTCTGCTGGCCAAATTAACTAGCCGATAGCGTTAACTGGAGTTGATGAGACTGGCCCTTAATGGCATCACACCTCTCTACTTCTTATTATTATATGGTGTGTAATTTCTCGACTGTGTATTTTGAAACGAAATGAAAAAGTGAGGAAATAAAAGTGAGAAAATTCATTATGCGGAATCTACAATGCGATCGTAATGTCATTACGACAGACCAATCGGAGAAGAAAAAACTATATATTCTCTTCTCTGATTGGTCGGTCATGTCGTAACATTGTAGACTCCGCATTAGAGTATCTGCAACTTCATATGTCAAAGGTTAATAAATTTCTTCACTTTTGTAATTTTCATCTCGTTTCAAGAGAATGACGCTTGGTCTACGTTGCCGATCCACGTGGTCAATCAAATATTAGATCCTTTATATATAATATAAAAGATCAAACACCTCATAAATTTATGGTAAAAATACGATGCGAGTCTGCCGTGTAAACTGTGAACTAAAATGCTATATAACATTGCAAAAGATAATATGTAATGTTATATAAGTATAAAATAAGAAGAGTACATCTTAATGTATATCTTAATAAATAAAGAGTATATTTTAATAAATAAAGACAGTATTGTTGATTTTAGAAAAATGCCAATAACATATTGCATATTTGGATATAACAGATCTAATAAAAAAAAAAAAATAGAAGTATACATCACTTTTCAATTTTCATAAGAAAGGAAAGTGATTGGCTATCACCGTCAATTTCTGCCGCGTGCAGAAGCCATTATGCAAAAGTCTGTGCTTGGGCCCTTAAATGGATTGCAGCCAGAGATGCCTTTCGAATTGGACGCTATCGATTGGTTGATCTTTCTGTGCGCTCTTCACACTAACCACACGATTGGTAGATGCGTATGCGTTTACACCGCCGTGTATCGTGCTATGCCCCGCAGGCCTCTCACGGATGAGTTTTTAACCTTTTCACGATACGCGCGATGTGCACCGTTCGTAAGGACATCATAGTCTTTCACTTCCCCGAACAATAAGCTTCGTGGAAAGGAGGGGTTAAGGTCGGAAGGGCGGGAGGAAGCGCGAGAGGCGACCGTCGAACATCTGTCACTGAGCGAGTGTATCAGCCAGTCAGTCGATCAACCCACCCCGTTCAGTCCCGAAAACGGTGACACTGTCATGGCACCCGCTTTTGTGATTTTTTGAGAACGCACGGCCACGCACCGTACATAACAACACAATACGCACACGATCCGACACGCGCTGTGTCCGCACCGCTGTCACGCTCGACGATTTTTACACGGATAAACGGAAACCTCCTCTCGTGCACACGGTGAGTACGGATTCATCGGACTGTTGTTTACCTGATGCGCGCCTGCAGCTTCATCTGAATGAAGGGCGAGCCCTTCGCGAAGCGCGTTTTTATCCCGCTTGTCTGATTATCCGCGGCCCGCATCCGTAAACGCGAGGCAATCGCGAAAAGAACGCGAAAGTGAACCTCCTTCACTTCATGCAGACGTCTATTGAAAAAATTACATGGATCATGATTTCCTCTTGAGTGCTTTTCAGAATTTATATGATTGCCATACGCTTGTCTTGCGTCTCTTAGCGAGTATCGCGCATAGTAAGATAATGTAAATGAAAAACAGATTTTGTATTAAGTACACAAAATATCATGTATGTATTAATTGTTTGTTAATTATGTATATATTTTTTTATTAATTGTAAAAATCATAAATATGTCATTTTGAAAGCTGCAGAATGAAATTGCTATTGATATATTTCTTCCTCCGTCAGTAATATCCATGTAATATTTGTTAGATATGACACTTCTGAGACTTGAATATAACATATTAAATATCATCTAACAATTAGACCAGTGTACACTAATAATGTACTTACGTCGTAATTATATCTTTTCTTCTAGATATTAAATCATGAGCTCAGGTAGACCAATAAAATGTGTAGTGGTAGGAGATGGGACAGTAGGAAAGACCTGCATGTTGATATCATATACGACAGATAGTTTTCCTGGAGAATACGTACCTACTGTGTAAGTATATTGCTATTTATGCTATTGATATTGTAGAACATCTGCTTTCTATCAAGAAACCTTTTTCTTGTAATTAATAACTCATGCATTAAGGGAATACTTTATAGTCTGGTTTTTGTGCCTTAGTTTCCTTTTCTTAGACCAATCAAATGGAGTGGCTAATAATAGTAACAGAATATAAGATACCTAACTTCTGTATACAGGAAGTAATTCATTTTGAGCCATCTTTTTGTTACTTCCTGTCCTTTAGATTCTCACTAGAATCTATTTTTGTTAAACTCCATCTCATTTGGCAATATCTTTGTCATTTTATGCTCTGTAATTAAGATACAACTACCTAAATGAAAATATAAGCAATGATTAAAATCTCTTTTTAGTCATTGTTATTTTTATTTTTATTTTGAGATTTTAAAATATTTAATAAATAGCAGTGAATAAATTAAGATTAAAATAAAATATATAATTAAATGTATATAAGTTGACTAAGTTTGTAATATTTTACCTAGATTTGACAACTATTCCGCACCAATGGTTGTTGATGGAATTCCGGTTAGTTTAGGACTGTGGGACACAGCAGGACAGGAAGACTATGACAGACTGCGTCCTCTGTCCTATCCTCAGACAGATGTGTTTCTCATTTGTTTCTCAGTAACAAGTCCTTCATCGTTTGAAAATGTTACCAGTAAATGGTATCCTGAAATAAAACATCACTGCCCAGATGCACCAATGATACTTGTTGGAACTAAAATAGACTTACGAGATGATCGTGAAACGCTTACCGCTTTAGCTGAACAGGGCCTTAGTGCTATTAAACGTGAACAGGGACAAAAGCTGGCAAACAAAGTATGAAGAAACAAATTATTCTTTATTTTATATGTAATCTATTTTTTTATATAATCTAAAACAGTTTAGTCTATAGCAGAACGTTAATATTTGTTATAGATTCGCGCAGTGAAATATATGGAGTGTTCTGCTCTTACGCAACGTGGATTGAAACAGGTATTCGATGAAGCAGTACGTGCCGTTTTAAGACCCGAACCACAAAAACGTCGACAAAGAAGGTGCATTATGTTATAAACGATGGAAGGAATTGACGGGAATCATAGGTATACACATATATAAAGCAACGGATCAAAATAAATTTGATCATTGAATGTGAAAAAATATGAATGTTTTAAAGAGAAGATGAATAGTACATGCATTTTAACGAATTATTCTGGCAGCTATAGAATATATACCATATTATGGAAATAGTACAATTTAATACTTCCTGGTCTCAACATAAGTCGTGATCACTAATTCACGGCCAGAAAGTTCAGACAACGAGAAAGTAAGAAGAAAAGAAAAAGGATAGACTAAATATTTAGCAGCATTTGCAGGAGGATGTTTACAAGTTACAAGCTTACAAATGTTTTTCCTTAAACTTACATTTATACATATATTTGCATAATAGTAAAAGGATATGTGACGATAGCAACATACAATCGATGATAGTAATGGAAAATAATGGAAAATAACTCGTGACATTTTTTTCTACGTATTCTACGAGAGAATCTCTGTTATTTAATATTAGAATCCTGTTATTTAATATTGGAGTCCTGCAAATCGATGATAATACAGTGTAAATGTGCTGTGATGATAAAGCATTAAGTACCGAAGCTTTACTTATCAGGGCTGCCAGATTTTCAACTTTTTACATTTACAATAGTAGAAACATTGATTTTAATACATATAACGCGATAGCTATTATAACAATCACAAGCTGACAAGTTTTACAAAATGTAAAACTAGCATTATAGAATTATTTAAATATGCAGTGCCATAGCAACGAAAAATCAAAGGAATTTTGCAAGCACTCTTAAATCAATCAGTTTTGGACAATATATATGTATATTTTTTACTAACAAATACGGGAATTTTTAAAAGATCAAGATGTAGTCAGAGAAATTGGAATGCATAACGATTCTTTAGACAAAAGTAGCATGTTTGTCTTTCCATCATTTTGAAACATTTGAAACTTTTATTCTTATCAATATTTTTGATAAGATATGTATGATATGCATACAGAATACTGCCATGAAATAACATAACACGGAAATTTCACGGAAATTTCAATATTTCTAATATTAGAGAAAAAGAAATCAATCTTGTGTAATAATTATTGAAATTAAATTTTATAATGCACATAAGACATTTTGTTATTTAAAAATTGCAACATATCTGTGTTGAAAGAAATAATAACATATTAATAATGTATATGTGAGTTTTTTAATATTTATTTTTTTGATAAATTAAAAATGGGAATTTTATTATGATTTTACGTGTGTATTACGAAATTTTAATATGATTTTCTATTTGTAACGTAATATTTTTTATTCGTGCTTGTAACAGAATAACGATATCGTACTAAAGTTTCTGCATTAGTGCAATTTGATCTATTAATAATATTCGAACTTTTCATGTGCATAAATGAAATACTCATCATAAAAATAATAATCAAAAGAAATAGCAATTGATAATAATGCAAAATAGTGGTAACAAGTACATGCCATGCAAAGTCCATTTTGAAATTGAAATGGAAATAGCACAATGTATTTTTTTAAATACCATAGTATATCTCGCTCTCTTCCATTTATTTGTATGAAAATTGTTTATATACAAATTATGAGGAAACCAGTATGGTTTAGAAAAAGGTTATATATCTTCTATAAATAAGTGTTGCTATAAAGTTGCCTATCATTGTTTTTAAATTCATTATTTTACAAATCGATCATAATTGCGATTGCACTTTTTTGCTAATTTTTTTCTATTTATCTAAAAGAATCAAGTTTTACTAACATAGACATTATATATGCTCTCTAAAAACTCAAAATAACGAAATAGATATTATACTATTTGTGATTATGCTATTTTTTTTATATTTAAAAGCTTAAGATAGAAAAGATAGGACCTTTGTGCCATATATTTTTCATTTGTAATACATATATTAAAAAAACATTTCCAAATTATTTATGATATTTAAAGTTGGATTAAAGAAAAACTTTTAATATCAAAGTAACTAAGATAATTATTTAAAAAATATATATTTTTGCATTTTGTTTTTAAAAAAGTAATTTGAAAATAATGAAGAGCATAAACTTTCTTTTTATAATTTGCATCATTAATACAAATTTTATAGTTGCATAAGAAGTTTAACGATCGATGATCGTTTTGGCTATTCTAGTCTCAAAATGCTATGAGAAGCAAACGAAAAGACATATTGCAGCTTAATAGATGTACATAATGTAGTATAACGTACTTTAAATTTCTCGATTTCATGTTTTTTAAAACGTAATTATGGATTTTTTTACTCTTGATTTTTATGCGCCAATAGGTCTTATCATGGAACCATTTAATTAATTCAAACATTGCAGTAATATTCGTCTTTTTTGTTTGATTTGTGTGACATGTTTGAAATAAAATACAATAATTGCTAAATTATATATATATATATATATATTTGTTTAGCGATAATATATATTTATAATAGTTTTATTATCGTGAAAATAAATTACTAGAATATTGCTGAATTAAAAACATATCTTAAATAATTGTTTTTAGTATCTTTTATTTTCTTTTATTGCAATGTAAGATAGTTTAAATTTTTAATATGTATACCCCTGCATATGTATAATAACGCATTATAATTAAACATAATAATATACTACAAATATGTATTATAATGTAATACATAGATTGCATTTTTTGTAAGTAGTGCATTTATCTTAAATTTTTAGGTACTTATTAAATCTTTTATATTGCATACTGCCAAATAAATGATTAGCGACAATGCGACAATATTTGTTTATTTTGTATTTTTCTTTTAATCTTTTTTTTTCGTTTAATATTTTTTATAATTTTTAATTATTAAAATTAAACAGAAAAAGATTACATTAATTAATACAATTAACAGGATAAGTATATTGCTTGCATTTATCAATAATAAACTTTAATTTAGGCACAATGTAATTTAAAATCACACTACTTACAATTTTTGCATTTAACGGAAATTGTAGGATGCGAATTACTTTCTCATCTTTCCTCTTTTTGACGAAATTATTGAGGGATTGCTATGAACCAAAGGTATATATTACAGTTTAAAATAACATCTATGTTTTGTATTATGGACTATTGCACATAAGTATAAAAAGAATGAATGTATGAAATGTAAAGATATTCTAGTCACCACGAATTTGCTTCTAACTTTTGTTTGTGTATGTGGATAATGCTCTCAGATTGCATATAAGCAGAACATAATCCTTAAAGATGGAGCAATTTAGCGTGTGAATGAGCGAAAAGGGAAATAAAGATGGAACGAAAAAGAAAGGGGATATGAAAGTAAAGATGCAACTTAATATTGTCAATTTAGATAAAATGCAAGAAAACCAAACGATGGGAATAGAAATTCTGTAGAAATTACAAATATATGTATATGTGCTAGGATACATAACTTTAATTATGAGTAATTTATAAACATTTGTCTATTTTCGTATATATGACAGAATTCGTTATTTATATACTAACAGGACAGCATAAGAGAGCGCCCCATCGTTTTTATGAAGTTTTTAAATCTATTGATTTATAAATTTATAATAAATATATTCCACATTAATTTTATAAATTTACTTTACAAAAAGACATATACTTCTATAACTATATTTTCTATATTTAATGCACTCTTTTGCTGTCAATATGAAAGCGAATCAGTAACAAATAGTGGCCTCGAAATTAATTTCGATTATCCTGTTTCCTTATATGGAAAAATTATGATTATGAAAAATTATTGACAATTGTAATGTGAGTAATATGATTATATAAACGCATATTCTATATGGCACTAGGAAGCATTTATTTTTTATTTACATGTATTTTAAAAAAACTTTTTCAAATAAATGATGCAATAAATTACAAGATAGTGTAATTTTTAACATTTTTAATTATGTATATTTTGTCTTGTTTGTTTTTAAGAGATCCTTGAGATATATTTTCCTTTCTTGATTTAATATTGGCTGTCATTTTAGAAAATTTTCTTATGTATGTGTAAGTTAGAAGACATTTTAGTAATAAAAATATTTCTGCAATTATTATTACAATTGCACAGAGATACACAATTTTAATTTTATATTTATTTTTTATCAAATTTTTTGTGATAAATGATTTCCATGCTAAGCTTCCACCTTGTTTAAATCCAATGCTATTTAATCCGAAGAAAAATTTTTCAGTCATTTCAAAAATATTTTTAGTGTTATATATTTATGTCACGCGAGAAAATACGTTCAAATTTATAATAATTTTGAAGATTGTCAAGCAATTTTCCTCTTTAATTACAATCCACGTCTGAATTTTAAGTGCTTGTGATTTAATAATGATTAATGAAAATAAAAAATTATAGACATTTTCTTTATTTAATTTTCCATTTTACCTGCGATATTGTTTATCGCAAGGTCGAAATTACATAGAAACGGACAAGGGCGCGGTCCAGGAACGTCGGTTCGACGAGCCGGCCCTGGATCGGCCACGTGTTGGATGAAGACGGCGCGCGACCCGCTTGGCTTTGTCCATCTCCGTCTGTACGCGACAAGGAGCAGACGGGAGAAGTACGTGTGACATCAGACGAGGTGGCGCGCGAGGGGTGGATCGGGGATGCAATTGTGTGCTGTGCATGCGATATTGTCGTCCGTGTGAGCCCTCGCTATAGACGCGTCGGTCGGTAGTGCGCGTAACGTAACGTAAAACAGCGAGGCGAGAACGTGGAGCGGGGTCGTGTAGGGGCGAACACTACGTCGCGAATACCCTCTCGCGCCCGTCATCGCCATGGCTCCATCGTGCGCGTGGTCTTTTCGTAAGAACCTCAACCGGTTCCTCATCGATGCGCCGATCTTGCTATGCCTGATCGTGCTGGTGAGCTTGTTCAACCTTTCCCTGTGTCTCTACGAGGACCAAGTCGGCAAATTCGATTGGTAAATAATCGAAGCAGCCTCTCTAAATAATGCAAAGGGGAGAAAGAGAGAGACATGTATATAACTATGTTCCCCGCCGCTTGACAGCGCCGTGGGAACGTTACCGCGAGAATGTTATCGTCTTCTCCGGGAATTAATAACATTTGCGGGATGTTTCAGGAGGCAGAACTACGTTGGGAAAATTAAATTCGCCAGCTTCGATACGGTATCCACGGCGAAAAAGATTATTGTCGCCACGGAGGAGAACGTTATTGCCGCTCTTAATCTAAAATCGGGTAAATAAAAAGTATTTATGATTTTTTTATTACACATTGTCTCGACATTCACTTCTGGTCAATAAAAAGCGCATCGCTCTTTATCTCTTAGACATTTAATTGTTTTAATCGTTTCACTGTTGATTATATTGTTTTGGCTCTGTCAACATTACATGATGATGATTAAGCACATCTCTTCGTGCGCATTTATATTATGAATTAAACATTAGTCTAATTGTCGAGCATCGCGCCCTGAGAAATGTCATTAGGTAGATCGACATACAAATAAATGTATTGACAATATTTGTAATGTAATAGGTCAGATATTATGGAGGCGAGTAATGGAAAAAGGTTATGGCGGTCGTATCAGAACCCTAGGAGGTATTGCAGATGGAGATTTGATATCTGTAAGCGGAGGAGTTCCTGCCATCGTTCGCGCCTGGGATTTGGCGACTGGTCACATAATCAACGAATGGCCAATAGCTGAGCAAAATACCGACAGGTTTGTGTAAAAATGAATTATCATTGAAATATAATCTTTTCTATATAAGTTCAGGTTTAATAATGTTAACAAGATAGACAATTGTCTATAAGTATGCTACTTTTTTTAATATTTAACAACTTTAAGAAAGGTTGATAGAAGGAGAGTAATATGGATATTGTATATCATACAAAGTTGAATATTTACTGTATAATTGTTTTTAAAAAAATTAAGTATATATATATATATATATATATATATATATGTGTATGTAAAATATAATTCCATTACTTTTGCAGACATGCATCTCCATTTATATCGTTTTCTACATTGGGCTTGTATTCTGCTGACAGGTCTTTTTATTTTTATTCAAAGCACTGTCGATGATATATGTTTTGTACACCTAACTGTAACTCTTGCTGTTGTAAATTAGGCTGCTTAAATTCAGTGCTTTATATTTTTATATATTTATCACTGTCGAGTGATACACACATATATGTATACACAAAATAGGAAATGTTTTTGTGATAAATTAACATTTTATTACAATTGTACAAAGATTGTACAAAGTTATGGAGTATATTTTGATGTACCAAATATTTTTTTAGAATATATAATTCACAGATAATTTATTATTATCCAGGATAAAAGATGTGAAGTGGCATATCAAAGATGGAACGTTGCATCATATATTACCTATTTATAATAGTGGAGTAGAAGTAACATCTTATGACAGCAAGACTGGAGAAAAATTAAAGACTCGAAGAGTTTCCGCACCATTTATAAGTCGAGAAACAGAGTAAGCAATTTCAAATTTAAATCACATTTGTTTTCTCGCTTTATCTATTTATTAGTATGCAAATTTTCTCTTTCAATTGTTTACTTTGGTTTTGAAAATGGTTTTAATGGTTTTAATTCTTTAGGTGTGTTCTAGCAGCTCCATATTTAGCATGTTTGAAGGGAGACAGTTCTTTAGCTGTAGTATTCTTGATACATTTATTCGATACTAATGCACAATCACAGTCAGTTACGATAAATACAATATTCGGAGCTGGCGCACAAGGGCCATATAAACTAGAATCCGTATTTGGAGAAGGACCCGTAATTTCCATTAACGCTGATAACGATCAAAGAAAGCGGATTTTAGTAATCGGAGAATTTCCAACTCCCATACAGAGAGATATTCCTGGAGATGCAACTCTTTATGTTGTTTCTATTGATAATGAAAAAGTACTTTTAGAAACGACGTATAAAAATGGAGTAAATATTAAAACATATTCTTTTCTATTTCTAGATAGATTCATTAATGTAGCTTTTTTTACAAATTTCCTATTATATTTTTAGAGGATAGAAATAACAGCCACAAACTTGTTATCATCTGTACCTATACCTGATTTGTCGGTTACTTTGACTCATGCTTCTATACAATCGCCAATCATAATGGCATCTGTATGTCCCCGTCAAACGAAAGGAATAACGTGTCGTCACTTGTTATCTTCGCAAGATCATACCATCGCATTATTACAACACAATAAGTTGGTATGGACAAGAGAAGAAGCCCTCGCTAGTATTGTGGCCGTTGAAATTATGGAATTACCTATGTCTGATAGAGATCAAGCTATTGAAACGGAATTTGATCAGAAAGAAAGTAAGTAAAATTGTTTATATATAATATGTATGTTAAGCGTAAAAAATCTAATACAAATCAAATGGAAAAGAATTTTTTAATAATTGAATTTAACAATTTTTTCATAATTGAATTTGATTAGATACTTTTTATATAATATTATATATGTAACTCATGTTTATTTATAGCAATCTTATATAATTCTTTTATTAATAAGTAGTATGCCAGATATAAGATACTATTTGTTGTATTACTGTAATATGTTGAATGTGACACATATACTTGTGCTTCCAAGATACAACTTATTTTCTTCTCACAAGGAGATGGTAAACATTGTGAAATATAAAACTAAATAAGTTATAGTTTATTCGAAAGGGAAGATCGAGAGTATAAAAAGTATAAAAGGATTTGAGTACATGGACCTTAATTTCGGAGAAATTTGCATACAAAATTAGTCATTCGGCATTTTTTTTAATAACGGTTATATCTTGTCGACAAAATTAATTTTTGTTATTATTTGTAATAAAATATTAATAATTATACATTATTATTATATGTATTGAAAAATAACGACAATTTTTACACATATATTAATTAATTTATTTTTTATTTATTATAAAATTCGGACATTGCAGCACAATGTTGTGGGTAAAAATTGAAATAAAAACATTGAAAACACAAATGGATCGCACATCATGAACATTTGATAAAAGAATAATTTATTTTACACAAACATTTTACATTATGTATGCATTATGTTTGCAGGGAAACATAATTGGTTAACATTATAAAAAATTTCGCGTTTATTTGCCAACTTTGATGCGTACCAAGCATATTATATCATATTTTTAAATTGTGGAGCGTTTAATAAGTAATGTGTTAATGATTGAATTCTTATTGCATTATATCGAAAATTCAATTCTATTCTTTTTCCATCAACAAGAATATCTGGATAGTTTTTCGAATTCGCTTAATAATAATTTTTACTTGCCTGTAAAACTAGATGTCGCAAGGTTGACAAATCGGAGTACACTTTGGATATTTGTAAATTAAATGTTGGCTTATTTTCATCATTTATGAAATTTTCATTATACATGTGAAATGTTTTTTTGACCTCCCCAAGAATCAACAATTAGCAAAAATTGATTGTTGCCTTTAATTACATTTTACATTTTAATATTGTTTTTAAATACTGTTCATATAAATATGAAGTAAGTTTACCTGACTTTGAGCAGACAATAACAACATTTTTGCACAATTTTAACAGTTCATCGACTTCTACTTTAATGCGTACTCCAAATGTATCTCCCTATTCTATAATTGTTAATAAAGTCAGACAACCACCTTGATGATGCTACAAAACGAAAGGCACATTTATTTTTCTCTTCCACATTTTGGAATTGAGTTGCAGCAGCCATAGCCCACTGCTGTAATTGTTGCCTTGTTACTAATTGTTTCTGATTTCATGCTTCGGTAAATCAATCATAAACATTTTTTTTTACAATATCCATTTTATCTATAAATATGCCACCTGTTAAAATTTCTTTCTTGAAACGTATAATTTCGCTATTATGGTGTAATTGTTGTTTAAATCTTCCTTGTAAATATTTAAAGCTCCCAGTTTGGATGTTTATTTGCAGTCATAACGATTTTTAATTTAACATCGAAAGGTACTCTATCATCTTTATTTTACAAGATTTTTCAGGTGGCACATATTCTTCATCAGTCATTAACAACATGGCTTGCTTCATCTCTATTTCCTCCACGTCTGCTTCAGTTTCGTTACGCAAAAAATATTCGGTTTCCTCGACAATCGTACATTTCCCCAACATTTTTATAAAATTTTCGAACAATTTTCCAGCAATTTCTTTAGCAGATTTTGTAAATTGTCCAGGTGAATCGGCATAAATAAGATCAAATTGTAACAACATGTCTGTGAAAAAATTCAATATTTTTACGTTATATTTTCTGTGATGTTTGTAAAAAAATAAATATTAATAATAATAAAAATATTAGCCTTTAAAATATGCGATGGCATCGGTTAAATCTTCTTTTGCAATATCACATTTTGTCAATATTTGTATCTGTTTCATCAAGAATGGATCTATATTTGCTTCTTCCATTTTTATTATTAATATAGAACAAAGATAACGAACGACTTCTACATTGATTTATACTCATGAAAATGCGTGAGAATACTGATCAAGAACGTAGCTCTAACGATTTTTTCAAGTCGTAATCTGTGCGCATGTATTAGAGAGGACAGATATCTGCTGAAGATTGTTTGTAATATACACTGCCTGACAAATATGATACAATTTGCTTGGTCAAAATTGACAAATAAGCGCGAAATTTTTTACGTTAATTAATTATGTTTTTATTTCAATTTTTACTTACAACATTGTGCTGCAATGTCCGAATTTTATAATAAATAAAAAGAAATAAATAAACATTAATATATGTATAAAAATTGTTATTTTTTAATACATATAATAATAATGTATAATTATTAATATTTTATTGCAAATAATAACAAAAATTAATTTTATCGACAAAATATAACCATTATTAAAAAAAAAATGCCGAATGCCTAATTTTGTATGCAAATTTCGAAACTAAGATCCATGCACTCAAACCCTTTTACACTTTTTATACTCTCGACTTCCCCTTTCGAATGAACTATAGCTCATTCAATTTTGTATTTCAATTCTTGCCATCTCCTTGTCAATATTGAGTTTACAACATTATTTGAAGAATATGGAGAAGCTTGTTTTGATTAATAACACTCTTATTAAAACGACATATTGTTTATCAGCAACACACAATTCAAATTTCTAATAACAATCTATCTGTTAAGTTATATTAATTAACTCTCTTTTGTGAATGGCTGCTGGCAGGTATTGATGTAGACAGTTCATGTAAGTAGTGGAGCAGGAAGGCTGGTTTTAATGCAATATTTTGTTTTATTGCTACAGACTTATATTTGCATGGTATAACTTTGTGTATAGACTCCTAAAAATATTAAGAGGTGTAAAATATAATTTATGTGTGATCATCTAGAATATCCTTTAAAGTAACATAATTATATTACTCTCTGCATGTATATACTGCAAGAAATAAAAATCCACATTCGATATTTGATATGATTGGAGTTCGGATGAAATATTATCGATACAAATAATGTAGCAATCATCATTAATGTATGATAACCAGCTACGTAAAATGCATGAACAGTTTTATGACTTTCATCATAGAATATGTAAAAGTCATTGAATTTGCTGAGAACATTCCATAATGCAATACAATAGCTTAATAATCATAAAATATACAGTTTGTTATTCTTTCCCTAAACATCTAATTTTTATTAGCCTCCTGCTGTATCATCTAACGTACAGATTTCAATAGTACGATTATTCAGGGATATATACATTTCCTAATGTTGTAATATTACTGTTATACAGGGGATGTTCTAAGTATGTTTCTTCGAAGGATTACTTCGCAGATTAATCAAGCCAGAGCATTCTTCCAAACGTTACTAGACTTCGTGCCTCTACAATCCAATCAACGTATCGATTTAGTACAAGATAAATTTGGTTTACATAAAATGATCGTAGTCGTTACATCTGCCGGAAAGGTATGAATTTGTTTAAATCAAAAGGCGTCTTATATTACATTCTATATTCTTTGCAGTTATATGGTATCGAAACCAGAAAGGGTGAAATTATTTGGCAATTCAGATTACCTAATATCCGTGGTTTCACAAAACTATCTAATACAATGATTTTGTATGTACAAAGAGGCAGCAGACATTTTCCTCATCCACCTCAATGTGCATTATTAGCAGAAGACAAAGTAAGATGTGCATTTATATTTTATTTTCATTAGTAAATGCGTAAATCTTGTATTTATTTCATGATATTTCACTTATATTATTTTTGGCATTATAATATAGGAAAGTGGAGAAGGTATTATATATACCTTTAATCCGATTACCGGACAACCGTTGGATGGAATGGTGAAACTTGGTTATAGAATAAAGCAGTCTATGTTACTGCATGTAGCGACTGATGACTTTTTGCGCGGTATCCTTATTCTTGATGCACGGGATAAAGTTCATGTTTATCCTGAAAGCGCTACGGCGGTTGCAGCTTTATTTGGAAAAAATACGTATCTTTTTACTGCTGATCAAACGACAGGAATATTATCTGGCTTCTCTCTTTCATATAGTACAACTCAGGTTTGTTTCATGTAAATGATATTTAACTTATGATATTAATAGAATCTAATCATTTTAATGATCATTTTAATGATGTAGGAGCTAGTCGCTCACAAGGTATGGGAGCTATTACTGTGGCCAAGAAATCAAAGAATAACACAAGTTGTCGCGAAAAATCCAATAGAACGTGTCCACTCTCAAGGGAGAGTCTTAAGTGACAGATCAGTATTGTACAAGTACATTAATCCTAATTTAGTAGCTGTGGTGACAGAAGGTATCGGACATGCTCATAAAAGTAAGTATATTCTTATTAATTTTTGTACAAATCAATCAATATTGTTTATTGAAAATACTTTTAACATTTTCTTATTTTTATAGATACGCTTAATTTGTATCTATTAGACGTAGTATCTGGAGCTATGATTTTTTCTGTCACGCATAAAAGAGTACGCGGTCCAATCCACATTGTACATTCGGAAAACTGGTTGGTATACAGTTATTTTAATGAAAAAGGACGTAGAACAGAAATCGCTACGTTGGAACTCTATGAAGGAAAAATACAGAGTAATATCACAGGTGATGACCGAATTAATATTTTAAATTTATATATAATCAATATCTTGAAAGAGAAAAGTGTCAATTAGCTACGGCTGATCAATTATTTTAACTTCAATATTAGATATTAACTTTTTTAAAACAGAATGCATCTTTCTTGAAAAATATTTTCTCTCATAAAAGGATCGAGAAGACGACTTCTATTTTTAATTAAATTTTTCCGATATAATTAAACAATTAAGATTATTATCAAATTAATTTTGGATATTGACAATTTTTTCTAAAATATAAATATTTTGTATTAATTATATATTTTGTCAATTTATAATAATTGTTGAATGTTTCAGTGTTCTCTTCTTTGGCAACAACAAAATTGCCTATTGTAGAAAGACAAGCTTTTATTTTTCCGGCATCTATAGAATATATGCAGGAAACAATCACTGAAAAGGGTATCACTAGTAAACATATAATAGGTATGTAAAATATGATTCAGTAAATTGAAAAAAAAATATTCAATTCCAATTTATTTAGATATTATTGTCATGAATGCGGTCTTTGTTACTATTGTTAAATGTATTAAATAAAATTTATATACTCGATATATTTTCAACAGTTGCTTTAGCCAATGGAGGAATATTAGAGTTGCCGTGGATGATGGTAGATCCACGACGGCCTATTAATCCTGAAATGCGAGAAGAAGGAGTAATACCATATATGCCCGAAATTCCAGTCCATATGGATGCTATTATTAATTATAATCAAAGCGTTTCTAGGGTTATGGGTATTCATACTAGTCCCAGTGGCCTTGAGAGTACTTGTTTAGTTTTTGTACATGGTCTTGGTAAGTATAGTATTGATTTGATTTTAAATTCTTATTTCTAGTAATAAGTGATTTTGTTAGTAAATTTATTGTAATTTTGCAGACTTGTTTTATACAAGAGTGGCACCATCCAAAACATTCGATGTCCTAAAAGAGGATTTTGATTATTATCTTATTGTGATAGTACTTGCAGCGCTATTGATCTCATCATATATCACTAAAAAATTAGCATCTCAAAAAGCTCAAAAGCAAGCGTGGAAATGATGTCTCGTTTTTCTAGAATTATGTAATATTTATAAATCTGTTCACTATAGACAAGAATTTTTCCTAAAAATAACTTGTAAAATATACTGTTTTATAAATAGCTAATTTTTAAATGCAAGGTAAACACTAATATTTTATTATCTTAAAAATTTACTTAAAAATTTTTTTCAATCTTAAATCCTAAATAAATACAAACATAAAAATATGTATCTTTTATTTTTTTGTTAATGTGGTACAGAGCACACATGTGCGACAAATCTTTCAAAGTGATGATCAATATATAATGAAAGTGGACCACGAACGATCATTGTTAAACTGCATTAAAACTGCATTAACTGGTAACAACTGCTCAAGTTTAATTGCTTTATTAATTGTATAGCGATTTTTATATAAAGTACAGATTTCTTTCAGTACCTGTATATTTTCACAAATCAAAAGCAAAAAATTGACAGTTTA